GGGGGATGACCAGGGAGGATTACCTCCCCGGACCCCTTTTCCTCCTGCAGACGTGAAGAAGACGAGGAGGAGGAGGGAGGACGGGACCCAGGGCCGGTGGCTCAGAGCTCGAGGTCGTTGGAGATGCGGGTGACGAGGGTGCGGAAGACCAGGGCAGTGCCCACCACGCGCCGGAAGAGAAACTCCCCGCAGGCCCGGCCGGGGCAGCTGGCAGACCTCCACTTCGAAGTGGGACAGGGGCTCGGGCCCGCCCGCACCCCCGTGCAGGCAGGCCAGCAGGAACGGCTGTGGCTGGCGGCAGCGGCAGCGGGCGGCCGCGGTGGCCTGGCGCAGAGCTGCCATCAGGGCCTCGGGTGGGCGCGAGCTGGTCAGCTTCACACTCCAGGGGAATCGGAGCAGCCGGGGGGCGGTTTCCGTTTGATCCCAAGGTAGATGGCAACTGAGGAGGGAGGACGTTAGAGGTCACAGATGGGAGAGGAAAGGCAACCCACTGTCCCCTCTTCAGGACAGACGCCTAGGTGTCCCCTCTGAGCTGTCTCCTTGTCATCCCCGGGCAAAGTTTCAGCTGGACATACATTCCCACGTCTCCCTGCAGCTGGGCACGGCCTTGCCTCCAACTCCAGGATGCAAGTGGACGTGACATGCGGCACCTGCACACACAGCGCCTCCTCCAGCGCACACTGCAGGCCCTGGCCCCTCGTGCCCCACGTCCTGTGAGCTGTATCAGCGGCAGCATGAGGCAGCCTCTGCTGTGAAGGTGGCGACCGGCTCTAAGGGACGGTGATGCAAGAACCTGGCTCCCCGAATGAGCCCAGGGAATGGAGCTGCCCTGCCAGCCTGGCCTGGCCACATGGTTTGTGTAAAAGAGAAATTTATTCCTGTCTATTTTGGGGTCTCTTTGCTCCAGCAGCTGGGCTTGTTTCTTTTTTTTTTTTAAAATATATTTTATTGATTTTTTACAGAGAGGAAGGGAGAGAGATAGAGAGTTAGAAACATCAATGAGAGAGAAACATCGATCAGCTGCCTCCTGCACACATCCTACTGGGGATGTGCCCGCAACCCAGGTACATGCCCTTGGCCGGAATCGAACCTGGGACCTTTCAGTCCGCAGGCCGATGCTCTATCCACTGAGCCAAACCGGTCTCGGCATGGGCTTGTTTCTTAACTAATACATCCCTCTGATAAGAACAGTCACTTTTCCCTGGAGGACCAACCTTCTCCACTCTAGACCACGGGTTCTCACCTAGAAGGGGTACTTGGGAATTTCTGGGGGCTTTCTGATGGTCACCATGTCTTGGGATGGGAGCACTGTGGGCATTGATTAGCTTGTGTACGGGGAGGGTCAGGGGCAACACATGTTCTGCAATGGGAAGAGGGCCCTGCACAACGAAGAAATATCCTGCCTCGAGTACCAAGGGTGTTCCTTCTGACAAGTACTGCAGATCTAGTCTTTCTGGTTTAGGTGGGGCTGACTGCCTCTCAGTGCCAAGGGTGAGCACAGGACTCAGTTCTGGCCAATGAGAGCATCCCATCTCCCTGGTTACTGTGATTGGCTCAAGGATGAGCACATGATTATATCTGACCAATCAGAATACTCCATCCCTCCGGCCATAGGTATTGGTCGGACATGTGACCAGGCCCCAGCCAATGAGAGTCAGTCCTGGGACTTTGTTGGAACTACTGGGGCAGTTCTTTACTTCCACTGGGGGGGGCGGTCCCTAAACTGATATCGTGTCAAACTAAAGTAGGGCTCGGCAAAGTATAGCACTGCTTGCTTTTTTCTTTTTTTTGTAAGAAAATTTGAATCTTTAATTAAAAGCTTTACATTATTCATCACTGCACTGCTTGCTTTTTGTAAATAAAGTTTTATTGGAACGTCAGCCAGACCCATTCGTTTGTACTGAATATAACTACTTTTGTGCTACAATCGCAGAGCTGAATAAGCATGACAGACTGACTAGCCCTCAAAGTCTAAACTACTTTCTACCTGGGGCTGTTAGACTCTGTCTGCCACCAGCTGGCCCAGAGCTGCTGGCCACCACTCTGCCTCATTGGATGAGAGGAAAGGAGGTGTCTACAGGGGGAGGAGCTGGTTATGGATGGGAGAGGCTGAAGTTAGAGAATGTCAAGAGCAGGTGCTCAAGGACGGGGAGGAAATGAGGGGCAATCGGCAGCGCGGAGAGGAAGAGCTGCTGGCAGAGAAGGGCGGTCACAGGGGGACTCAGGGAGCTGGCCTTAAAGGATGAGACTCAGTCCCGTCTAAGGACCAGGGGGCAGCGGGGGAGGGGCTGAGGGAAGCGGGGTCTGAGGCACGTGAGGGAGAGGGACAGTGTGGCAGTCGGGGGAGGCACATGCACTTACCTTGTGACCTCAGGTCCCCCGATTCTCTCAGGTTCGTCTGAGACCCTAGGGGAGGAGAGGGGGCCAGAGTGTTTCATCTGGACACAGGAGCCTCCGCTCCCCCACCCCACTGCCTCCAAGACTCTGGCAGCCCTGCCTTGGCCCCCGTGCCTCCCTGCTGGCTGGAGCTGGGCAGGGGAGGGCCTGGAGTCGGATTTGCTCTCCTTTCCCAAGCCCAGAACGGGAGCCCATTCTGAAATGGTTAGTGCAGGTTGTAGGAAAGATACTGAAGAATTCGGAAGACAAAAGAACAGGCAGGTGGGCAGAGACAGCCACGTGTAGAAGGGGCGACACACACACGCACCCCTTCCTCCGGCTTTGCTCCAACGACCCTCCTCTGGGAGGCCGGCCCCTTTAGAGCTGCTCCTTCCCTTTCCCACACCCTGACCCCCCTCCCTGCCCTCGTTTCTCTTTCCTACTTGTCGCTACCTGACAGTCTATGTATTTTACTTATTTACTGCTCACTGTCTGGGTCCCCTGGTGGAATGCTGGCTCCGCCCGGGCAGGGCTTGGCAAAGTACATCTTGTTCACTCTACTGCAGGGCCCAGGATGGTGCCAAACACAGCAGGTGCTCAATGAATAATAATGGCAAACGTTTATAAGCATTTTCCAAGGCAACATTCTAAGCTCGGTCCACATAGCACCTCACTTAGTCCGCACAGCAACCCTATGAGGGAGCCACTGTTACTGCTATCCCATTTTAGAGAAAAGCGAGCCCCAGAGAGGCCGAGTGACTTGCTCAGGTCACTCAGCAGAGCTGGGGTCTAAACCTCATGAGTCTGGCTCCAGGGCCCAGACTATTGTTTATTAAATGAGTAAATGACCCCACATACAGACCGCCTCTCCCATTCACAGCACCCCCGCCCCCCACGCCTGCACGCACAGCTCGGACACGCAGACAAGGAGGCAGAGCCAGTGAGAGCAGAGGGTGGACAGGACTTACTGATCTTGGATCCCTGGGGCAAAGAGGCGCCCGAAACGCAGCGGTTAGAGTTCTGCCGTTTAGAGGGGTCGAGGGTAACCCTGTAGTGTGAGGAGGGAGCGAAGGGTGACGGAGGAGGAGGAAGATGAGGAGGAGGAAGTGGAGGAGGAGATGATACCGAGGTAAAGGAGGCAGAGTTGAGTAGAAGACAGGTTAGGCCCATCAGCCCCCAACCGCGACCCCTGTCCCCCATGTCCCGTGGGGCTCACCTTCGGGTCAGTTTGGAGGTCAGCTTGGTAAAGAGGTTGGTGGTGGGGCGGGGCCGCCCGGTGGGCAGGGGTGTGGCCTCGTGGGCCAGTGTGGGAGAGGCAGGGGGCCCGTTCTGCACGCCCCCACCTCCCCCGCCCCCTGCCCGCCGGTCCCGGACCTGGCCACCGTGGAAGGTGCTACGGATGGTGGAGCCCCGTGCCAGGCGGCTCCGCTCCCCTGATGGGGGAGCCAGGCTGTGACTGGAGGGGGAGGCGGGGGGCACCCGTGGGGTACCCGAGCTGTGGGCAGAGAGGAACAAGTCAGAGAGGGACCCAAGGCAGGCCAAGCCCCCAGTCCCGCTGATTCTTCACTGTCCTGAGGTCAGAAACTTCTCCCAGCCAAGAGCTCAGAGGCAGGGCGAGCTGTGAAGGAAGTGTGTACTGCACCGTCCCCTCCGGAGTCAGCCCTCCTTACCTGTCCCTTCTTCAAACAAACTCTACCCGCTCCAAACGGCCCCTACCCAGCCCCCCTTCCTCCACACTCAGCTATTGAATAGCTTCCCATACATTTTTGGGCGAATCCTTTGCTATTTGCCATCCAAACCTCAGGAGCCAAATCAACTTTGCAAATACTTTGCTATCTCAACTTCCATTATCCAAACTTGGGAAATGAATAGATGTGTACGTCAAGGGTACCTATATTCATTATAACCATTTCTCAACAGGCGACAATAAAGAGGAAGGGACCCGCTTCTTGACTCTCTCAAGATGGTGTGTGAGCAGTGGTGGCCCCTCTGTCCCAGAACCCTCCTCTAGCCCCTCCACCTCTCCCAGTTCTCACAGGAGGCCCCAACTCCAACCTCCATCCTTCCGGGGGCCCCAGCACCAGCCTGGATCTCTAAGAGGGAACCCTGACTGTGGCAGACGCCACTACCTCTCCCTCAGAATCCTTCTTGTTTTCTATAGTAATCAAACCTTTAACGAAGAGCGTGAGTACCGCACAGGGCCACCCGGCCAGAGACTACATTTCCCAGCCTCCCTTGCAGGTAGGGGTGGTCATATGACTATGCTCTGGCCAACAGAATAAAAACAAAAGTGCTTGGTACTATTTCTGGGTCTAAAAAGAATGCTGTTTGCCCTCTACTCTCTTTCCGCCCCCTCTGGCTCTTTGGGAAATGGTGGCAACTGCCGCAGCGGCCTGAGACCCGGATCGGAGCCTCATGCTGAGGCTGGCAGACTCAATCTGGGTTCTCAGAGGACTACGCCTCCACCTCATTTAAGCCATGATGCCTTGGGATCTCTTTGTTTCAGCAGCTGAGTCCATAACCTAACTACACACTGTCTCTTGACTAGAACTGGAAGGCCATGCATTACAGTGATTACAAACAGACTCTAGAGTCAGTCTAGAACAGCCGTGGGCAAACTACGGCCCGTTTGAAATGAATAAAACTAAAAAAAAAAAAAAAAAAAGACCGTACCCTTTTATGTAATGATGTTTACTTTGAATTTATATTAGTTCACACAAACACTCCATCCATGCTTTTGTTCCGGCCCTCCGGTCCAGTTTAAGAACCCATTGTGGCCCTTGAGTCAAAAAGTTTGCCCACCCCTGGTCTAGAATCTGCTTCTTGCCTTACCAGCTGTGGTGCCCCGGACAGTTTACTTAACTTTTCTGTATCTCATTTTCTCAGCTATAAAATGGATACCGGGATCCACCTCACAGAGTTAAGGGCATTCAACCAGCTAAGGTGCAGAGGCCTGGCCCAGGGTTCCCGCCTGATGAATTATTATTTTTATGTCTCTACAGTCCTGGTGGGCAGGAGTGTCACTATCCTGAAGTCCCCCCACCCCGACTCCTGGACTTGAACTCTGACAGGAACAAATTCATCCCTTTCATGCCGCAGCCAGTCTGCACTGGTTCCCTCACTCGCCAGCTGGAAGAGACTGAACAGACACGAGCAAATAAGTTTGAAAACAAGCCAACCAGAGGATGTGGAAGCTGTGACATTCTGGGGCTTCTAAGTTCTAAAAATGGATCATTCAAAAAAAAATAAACTCAGATTTCTAAGGCTCGTGGGCAGAGAACAGGGCAGACTGCTTCCCCGTGCTGACTAATTAATTAAGGGAGGAGGACTTTCAGGGGAGTCTGGGCGGGGGAGGACTCGGGCAGATACATACACTCCCCAGTACCCATGGTACCCCCGACCCCCAACATCTACCCACCTCAGATCAAGGGGGCCCTGCTCACCTCATCCCACTCCCCGCTCCCCCTTCTCCACTGTCACACCCTCCGTACCTGTTTTCTTTGCCATTTGGCAACAGGGACGGGCGCTCAGCCCCTGGGCGTTCCGTGCAAACGTAGGTGTTCCTGCGGGTCATCATGCTGGGAGGGAGGTTGTTCTGTGAGAGACAGGGCCAGGAGGGGAGTGAGGGCATGGAGGGACACTCCTTACTCCTCACTTTTACCCGCTCTGGCCTCCCTCATGATGAACAAGGAGAGGCCTGTGTGTAAACTGATGGTTGACCCTGGGCTAAAGGAACCAAAGACACGAGGCTCCTGGGCCCTCCCAGCAATCCAGGCTGAGTCACAGGAGGCCCCTGGGGCTGGGAGGTTCCAGGGGCAGCCTCGTCCACCTCTCTCCCGCCCCACCACCCCTTGGTACAGACCAACAAGCTTTTTTTTTCTCCAACAAACTTTTAGAACATATTCATGCTACATGGTGTCTCTTCGCTTTGCCTTTGCACAGACGGTCTCATCTGCTTGGATATTCCTCCTACCTTCCCCCTGACTCACTCCTCTGTACATCTGAGGTGTCGCTTCATGATCTACCCCCACCCCCAGCTCCAGCCTGAGTCAGGTGCCGCCTCTGGCCTCCCCCAAGCAGCCTTCAGCACTCTGTACTGCAACATCTGTTCACATGTACATCCCTCCCTCCCAGAACCGTGAGCTCTCAGAGGACAGAAATACCGAATCGGGATTATGTCGCCTCATAAACTGCACTGGGAAGTGAGCCTCTTCTTTAATTCAGGCTGTTTGTCGAAGACTGGTATTTTTTATGCTTGGAAGAATTCCGCCAGTTTAGAGCCATCTGTGTCTGGAATTTTCTTTATGGGAAAGTTTTCAATTCTGGAGTCAATCTCTTTAATAAGAATATATGACTGTTCAGGTTTCCTATTTCTTTTTGTTCAGTTTAGCTCACTGTGTCTTTAAAGGCATTTGTCCATTTCAGCTAAGTGGTCAAATCTACTGGCTTAAAGTAGTTTCCACTACCTTCTTGCTATCTCTTTATGTTACAGCACAGTCCCCTTTTCATCCTGATATTGGCCATTCGTGTTTGCTATCTTTTTTCTCAATCAGCCCTGCTCGGGGTCCAGTGCTGTCACCAGCCTTTCTAAGAACCAGCTTTCGGCTCTGTTGATGTTTTTCTCTAGTTTACATTTGTTTTCCCTTTTATTGACTTCCCTTCTATTATTTCCTTCCTTCTCCTTTCTGGAGGGCTAATTGCTGTTCCTTTCCTCCTTTCTTAAGCTGCGGGTTTATTTGAACACTAACAGTAGCTCTCAATGAGCGCTTACTGAGCCAGACACTGTGTGAAGGACTTTATGTACAAGATTCTCATCTCACAAGGACCCAAGTTTTTTAATGAGCTCATTTCACAGGATGGAGTCCTACAGCTCAGAGAGGTAAAGTCACTTGCTCAAGGCCACACAGCTCATCAGTGTAATTCAAACTTCGGTCTATATGGCTTCAGAGTCCGGACCACTTTCCTAGTACCTGCCTGCACGCTGGTCTCCCACTGTTGAGGGCGTTTGGTTCCCCCAGCTGCACCCTGCCACTCCAGGAAGCTACAGGAGAAGCCAAGTGCTACACTCCTCAGACTCGTCGGCGGCTCAGGTTCTGGACAGGAACGGGTCCTGCCAACCTTCGCACGCATGAAGCCCCGACTTCCGCTCTCACAGGCCAGGTCCTGCGGCCTCTGCTTCGGCAGGGCCCCCACCCCATCTTCCAGGTGCTGGATGTCACGGGGCCTCTGGCTGAGGGTGAAGTCCTGGAGTCTCGCACTGCAGCCATGACCGCGTGCTCTGGAATTCAACAAGCTGCCGGCAGCCTCAGGGGGGCAGCTCCTGGTGGGTCTGGCCCGCTGACAAGGTGTCATTCCCACAGGTCTAGGCTTCTGCCTGCTTCTCCAGGCCTTCCTACTATTTTATAAGCACCACACCTAGTTCCCTGTATTAAATCCTTCCTACACGCTGTATGCCTCTTTCGGACACTGAATGCTAATTTACACATTAGCACCAAGCACAAGATCAGACAAAGAGAGAACGCTCAGCAAATGTTTGTTGAATGAATGAGTGAGTGAACGGATGTAACAAGGAGTCCTGTGTGGTGGTCTGGGGAGCAGGACGGGAAACGCCAAGGTCTGAAAAAATGTGAGCCCAGTGGCATCTGCAGGCCGGGCCTCAGGTGGCCGTACCCGACCCTGCCCCAGCCCCAGCCACTCACAGGGGTGCTCGTGCTGTCCTTCCGCCGCTCCGGGATTTCTGCTTTGTTGGGGTTGTGGGCACTGCTGACCATCGGGCTGGAGGGGGGCAGCCCTCGGCTCCCGCTGCCCGCAGCACTGCAGCTCGCCTTCCGGCTCGGCAGGCGCTCCTCCTTCAGCTCCGCCTCCCCCGTGCTGGTTGGGCTGCGCTTGGGGTGCAGGGGTGTGGGGGATGGGCCGCCTGGTGGAGGGAGGGGACAGTTAGGGCTGGCATCACCTGGAAAAGCCAGAACCTACACTGGGTGACCCTGGGAACCTCCGCATTCCTCCCTGGGCCATATCTCTGTGTAGGCGACTCTGACAGGGGCTGTCAGATTGACCCAGAAGCTCCAGAGTGACCTGAAGCACGCAGAGGCAGGCGATGCACGGCATCATTCTTTTCTTTAAGGCCCAGAGACTGGGAACAGCCTAAATACTGCTCAACAGGCAAATCCTATCTAATAAAAGAGTAATATGCAAATTAACCATCACTCCATCACAAAGATGGCGGCGCCCAGTCCCCTCAGCCCCGCCGCTGAAGTGTGTAGGCCTGTTGGCCAGGCAGGTGGCAGGGAGCGGGGGGAGGGCCGAGTGCTGAGGCATCGCTGCTGGAGTGTCTGGGCCTGTCAGCTGGCCAGGGGCCGCAGGGGCGAGCGGCAAGGCACGATCCGCTCACTCTGGTGGCCAATCCAGCCTCGCTGCTCTGCCGCCAATGGAGTGTCCTGAGGGAGGGAGTGAGGCAGCGGAGACGGGAGGGAGCGAGGCAGTGGAGAAGGGTGGGCTTCGCTCCCTTCTCTGCTTCGCTCGGCCGCAGGAAGCCTTATTCTTGCAGGAATAGGCCCGAGGAAGCCCTATTCTTGCAGGAATCTTCCTGCAACAGGCCTCTAGTAGTTAAATAAATCAAGTCATTCCACATAATGGAATACTATGCAGCCTTTAAGAATGAGAAAGCTCCGCCCAGCTGATGTGGCTCATTGGTTGAGCATCGACCTATGAACCAGAAGGTCACCATTTGATTCAGGTCAGGGCACATGCCTAGGTTGCAGGCTCAGTCCCCAGTAGGGGGCGTACAGGAGGCAGCTGATCAATGATTCTCTCTCATCATTGATGTTTCTACTTCTCTCTCCCTCTCCTTTCCTCTCTGAAATCAATAAAAAATAAATAAAAATAAAAAGAATGATTATGTAACAATAGAGTGATCTTCAAGACAGACTGCAAAGCAGGCCTACACTGTGCTATCATTTGCATAAAAAAGGAGAAAAGTGCTTATCTATACATATCTACTATATCACCTTGTTTATATATGAATATCTCCAAAGAGCTATCATCTGCATCAAAAGAGGAGAATGTTACCTGTACAGTAAATTAATATGTTAACATAATATTTATATCTTTGTATGTCCCTTTTCTTTCTCCTTTTCATCTTCTCTCTCTCTCTCTCTCTCTATATATATATATATAGACAGACAGATAGATAGATAGATACACACACACATTTATTCACCCAAGGATATTTTTCCCATTGATTTTGAGAGAGAGTGGAAGGGAGGGAGGAGGGAGAGAGGGAGAGAGGGAGAGAGGGAGAGAGAGAGAGAGAGAGAGAGAGAGAGGGAAACACCACTGCAAGAGAGACACGTTGATTGGTTGTTTCCCGCACGTGCCCCAACTGGGGCCAGGAATGGAACCTGCAACCCAAGTACGTGTCCTTGACCAGGAATCGAACCCAGACCCTTCAGTGCTTGGGACGAGGCTCTAACCACTGAGAAACACTGGCCAGGGCTACCTCATTATCTATATATATAAAAACCTAATATGCAAATAGACCGAATGGTGGAACAACTGGTTGCTATGACGTGTGCTGACCACCAGGGGGCGTGCGCGGAACATGGCGGGTGTCAGCAGCAGGTGGCAGAGCACAGAACATGGCAGGTGTCAGCCACAGCGGGATGGTGGAGCAGGTGAGTAGGGGAGCCAGACCAAGGTAGGGTGCTGGTCGCTGTCAGCGGGGTGAGCCTCTGCTGGTTACAGAAAATCCTTTGCTCCCATGTGCCACGGTCCCGCCAGGTGCTTGCACCCACGGCCAGTGCCAGTCCCGCTCGCACCCGCTGCTGGGGCCAGAGCCACCGCTTGCACCTGCTGGGGCGCCTGGCGCCAGCCCCTATCACTCCGCACTGTCAGTGGGTGCAAGTGGCAGCTGCAGGCCCTGATCACCCCTCAGGGCTTCTCCACCTCCCCCTGCTCCTGAGGGGTGATCCGGGCCAGCAGCTGACTCTTGCGCCTGTTGCCGGCAACGGCATCGCTCGCACCCACTGCCAGTGCTGGAGCTGCTGCTTGCACCCACTTTTGGTGCTATTAATGGGTGCAAGTGGCGGCTTCTGGCCCCGATTGCCCCTGAGTGCTTTTCCACCTCCCCCTGCTCCTGAGGGGCGATCAGGGCAGCAGCTGCGCATGCATCCACTGACAGTGCTGGCCCCACGCACACCCACTGCTGGCCCCAATCGCTCCACACCGTCAGTGGGTGCGAGCGGGGCTGGCACCATCAGTGCATGGGAGCGGCAGCGGCAGCAGCTCCCGCCGGCAGACAGGGGACTGGGGACCAGGGCCATGGAGGGAGGGGTCGGGCGGGGGCGTGGAGGATGGGCTGAGACCCGCCCCTGGGTCTACCACAGCCTTGCAGCCCACAGTTCCTTTCAGGGTGCACGAATTTGTGCGAGGCCCCTAGTATATTTATAAATAAAACCTCTCCAAAAGAATGTATATAATCAATGTATACTCAAATAAACTCTTGAAAGTTTTTTTAAAAAAAACAATGTATATAAAACCAGTAACCGTGGCTGCCTCCAAGGAGAACAAATGGGGTGGGGGTGGGGCTCACAGAAATGTGTTGAACGAAAACTATTTTACTGTTTACCCTTTGCATACTACCAAAATTTAAAGCCTGTGACTGTTTTAATTTCAAAAACAAATCTGGCCCCTTAGAACATCTTAGGAATTTATGGTTTCAGAACCAGGGGATTAAACATGTTCTAGAAGTTCAGTCAGAACTGCTAAATCCTCAGGAACCTTAATGGTCACTGTCCAAGGACAGTAATCTCCATGACGACAGACGGGCACCGACAGACACCGGCACCGTCAACGATCCTTTCCCTGAGAACCCTGGGAGCCCAGGTCTCCACGCGGGGCTTTAGGGGGTATAGTGTTGTACCAAAGGATGTTGGGGTCACAGCCTCTCTAGCACTTTCTGGGCCAGTCTTGCTATTTAAAGGGGTGGGGGAGCCCTGACTGGCTTGGCTCAGTGGATAGAGCGTCGACCTGCCGACTGAAGGGTCCCCAGCTGGATTCCAGTCAAGGGCACATGCCTGGGTTGTGGGCTCGACCCTCAGTGGGGGGTGTGCAGGAGGCGGCCGATCAATGATTCTCTTTCATCACTGATGTTTCTATCTCCCTCTCCCTTCCTCTCTGAAATCAATAAAAAATATATTTTAAAAACAATAAAAAATAAAGGGGTGGGGGAGCCCTGGCCGGTGTGGCACCGGTTGGGCACCAACCCATGCACCAAAAGGTTACCAATTTGATTCCCGGTGAGGGCACGTGCCTATGCTGTGGGCTCGATCCCTGGTAGGGTGTGTGCAGGAGGCAGCCGATCAGTGTTTCTCCCTCTCTTCCCCTCTCCCTTTCTCTCTCTCTAAAAATCAATAAAAAACCTTTAAAATAAAATAAAAAAGAGGGCGGCGGGGAAGGAGACCCAGAGGAGGGGAATGGCTGGACCGCCCAGAACCACACTGAGCTCCTGACACTCCTCTCCAGGTACAACTTGAGTTGGTCTCCAAAACCGAGAGGTAAGGAACCGAGGGCCTGGGAAAAGATAAGGTGAGATAAGGAAGAGAGGAAGGAGAAACCAAATGAGCAGAGGAAGCGAGACACCGATGGTGTCTGCTCTGGGTCTGGTTGTGCATTCCTGCCCCCAAGGCCCGTGCGATGTCCCTGCATCTCTATAAGCAAGTCCTCTCTTCGAGGCGATGGGCTCGAGCGGGTTGTTGCTTGCTACCCGAGAGCCTGACGGTGGGGCGGCCATACTCACAGAAGTCGCTGTGCCTGCGCTGGCGGTGGTAGGTGGAGGAGGAGCTCCGCTGCCCTTTGCTGTGGCTGGTGCCTTTGCCGGAGCTTGTCCCGTTGGTGGTGTCGCTGGGCGCCCGCACCCTTGCCAGGGCCAGTGCTGGGGCGCCCCGGTCCCCGCCCTCCTGCAGGAGGACAGACAATGAGCCTCAGCCCCATGTCCTCTCGGCCCCAGAAGTCCCTCCACCCCAGGCAGCCCGAATCCCAAATGCCCCTGGTGCCTCCTGACCTCAGTCTTCCTGCCCAGCAGGAGGTAGGTGGCGGTCACTTCGTTGTACTTCTGGCTGGTCAAGGCCTCTTTGATTTCTTCCCGAGTGTAGCCCATACCCACCATCACCTCTGAGAGAGGGGGACGGAGAGGAGGCTCAGGCCCTCAGGCCCTTCCTTCCCACATCAGCAATGCCTACTCTTTGGCTGGTCCAGTGCCCACTCCCCTTCTGCCAGGAGGACTCTGATTTTCCTTGGCAGAACACCCTTTCCCACGCAGATCACTGAGCGGATGCCTGCCTGCTCCAAGCCCCGAGGGCGGGAAGATGACCCAGGTCTGGCCAATCAGAGCATTCCACCCCCAGGGCCAAACTGACTGGTTCAGGGCAGCCAATGGGCACCAGCCTAGTGCTTTCGGTGGAACTGTAGGAAGTGGCTCTCTTCCTGATGAGGTGCCCAGACCACTAGGCTATGCTGCCGGCAGCTTGCTCCTGGCGGGAGGGCTGCCTGGAAATAAAGCTGTCACTTGGCAGATTCCCAACTGCCTCTGAGCACCTGGGTCCAGCTGTGTCGAAGGCTGACATCCCAGCCTGTTTAGTTATGTGAATAACGTCACTCTTAGGTTAAACCATGTTACATTGCTGGTATTGACGATTTTTAAGCAAACGGCGATTTCGTATGCTTCCACCTCTTATTATCACCATCATCTGGTTTAAGCCAGAATGGCTTGGGCTTTCTGTTCCTTACAACCAGGGAAGTCCTGATTAAGGACCTTCTGACGGTGGCCTCAGTTTCCTCAGCTGTACAATGGAGGGTTACTGGGTGGCCCCTAAGGGGCTCTTCCAGGGCTAATGCTTTAGGGGTCAAGTGTTCGAAGGTTCTGGGCTGGAGGGATGGGGACCAAAGGAGTGGAGGGTGAGTCACGGGCCAACGTAGGGACTTGCCCCAAACTCGCAGATTACCGATGGCTGTGCCCCAGCACTCCGGAAGTGCTCCGACATCCCTGTGTGTGTGTGTGTTTAATATACTTTTATTGATGTCAGAGAGGAAGGGAGAGAGGGAGAGATAGAAACGCCAATGATGAGAGAGAATCATGGATCGGCTGCTTCCTGCACGCCCCCCACCGGGGATGGAGCCCGCAACCCGGGCATATGGCCTTGACCGGAATTGAACCCGGGACCCTTCAGTCTGCAGGCCAAGGCCCTATCCACTGAGCCAAACCAGCTAGGGCCATTCTTTTGTGTTTGAATAGTCAAAGCTAACATACATCAGCACTCAGTACATCCCTGATATAAAGTGCAGTATGTAGACTATACTCCCAGTCAATTAATATTCATAACACCCTGTAGGACAGTTCTATGAATATGCCATTTTACAGACGAGGAAACAGACGCACCGAGAAGGGCAGCCACTTGCCCAGGGCCACAGGGACTGGCGCCAGGCTCTCGCTCTCCCCACGGTCTGGCCAAGTTGCTGAGGCACCAACCGGAGGGGTGGGGCTGGAGGGCTCCTCCCCTGGCCCTGGGGCCCGCGCTCGCTGACCCTCACCGATTCGCTTGGTGTCCCCAAAGTCCTCCTCCGGCTCTGTGTATGGCTTCAGCTCCTCACCCTCATAGCCGATATTGATCCATTTGTCTTTCATGATTTGCTGCAGGAATCGGAGGGCAGGGGAGGGGGAAGACATGTCAGGAGAAGCCAGGAAAAAATATAGGTTCCCACCCCCACGGCCTAGCATCCCAGAAGTGAGGGCTTCCTGAGAGCGAGCACCTCCTCACCCCATTTCCCGGCAACCCCCCCCCCCGCTGGAGCCTCCAGATGCCACCTCCCGCCCCCACATCATCTGGGTCCCCGGCACGCTGTAATCATCCTAGAAGCTCATTAGCTAATTACTGGCGTGGCAGGGAGTGGGCGAGGCTGCTGGGTCGGGGGGTGCATCAGGATGGTTCTGGGAGCCTTTTCCTGGGCTGCTCGGCTCCCCCCACCTTCCGGCCGAGGACCTTAGCAGGCGGGTGGGGAGAGGACAGGTGCAGGACAAGAAGGCAGCCGGAGGGGTGTGGGGCCGGCTTACCTCCAGAGTACAGCGTTTAGCGGGGTTCAGCACCAAAAATCTGCGCAGGATGCTCTCACAGTCGGTAGACATGTAGAAAGGGACCCGGTACTTCCCCCTGAGGACTCGCTCCCGCAGCTCCTGAGGGGACAGGGTTACTGGGGGAGGGGTCCGCCCGCCTCCCCACCCCTCACACACACACACTCATCTCTCACTTCTGTCCCAGTCCCCGGACAGAAGTGACAGGAGCCCCGAGTCCCCGCCCTGAACGAGGCGGGTGAAACCCCACCACTCCCTCCTGACCTCAGTTCCCCATCTGTAAAATGGGAGTATTGTGCCAAATGCAGCAATTTTCAAAAAAATATCACCAGTTTAAAGCTATATAACTTCTCATCCAGAGGAAACCTTACAGAGAAAGTGAATTCTCTAAGCCAGGTGAGTGGGGAGGTGGCAGGTGAGTTAGCCTCTGGGCTCAGTCTCTCTATCTGTAAACAGGGAGCCCAGCACCCACTTCAGGGGCCAGGGAGTGAGTGAGTTTATAGCAGTAAGTGCCCAGCACGCGCTAGGCCCGAGCAGCACTATTTAAACATTAGACGTATACAAGGGGAGGGGGAGGGGACTCCTGCCCACGCCCTCCATCCCTGTACCTTCCCTCGGACGTGCCTGCCTGCCCTTCTGAAGAGCTCGGAGGCTCTGCAGGTCTCAAAGGATGAGCTCTCATCCGCTGACCTTTAAAAATAATTTTGTTTTGTTTTGTTAATTCTCACCTGAGGATATTTTTTCCCACTGCTTTTCAGAGTGGAAGGGAGGGAAGAGGGGGGAGAAAGAGAAACAGATGTGAGAGAGACACATTGACTGGTTGCCTCCTGCACACTCCCCAACTGGGGGTGGTGGGTAGGGAGCGAACCCACAACCCAGGTATGTGCCCCAAACTGGGAATTTAGCCCGAGACCCTTTGGTGCATGGGCAGGCGCTCTAACCAGTGAGCAACACTAGCCAGGGCTAAAATTTGTTTCAATTTGATTGATTTTAAAGAGAGAGGAAGGGAAAGAGAAACAATTTGTTGTTCCACTTAGTTATGCATTCATTGGTTGATTCTTATACGTACCTTGACTGGGGATCAAACCCACAACCCTGCATATAAGGGATGATGCTCTAATCGAGCGGTTCTCAACCTGTGGGTCGCGACCCCTTTGGCAGTCAAACGACCCTTTCACAGGGGTCGCCTAAGACCATCCTGCATATCAGATATTGACATTACGATTCATAACAGTAGCAACATGACAGTTATGAAGTAGCAACGAAAATAATTTTATGGTTGGGTCACAACATGAGGAACTGTATTAAAGGGCCAGAAGGTTGAGAACCACTGCTCTAACCAGTGAGCTACCCGGCCAGGGCTACGCTGACCTTTTTTTTAAGGGTTTTGTCTGAGGAGCCCTAAGGCTGTGCAGGAGAAAATGAATCCCACGCTCCATGGCATGGCGGACCAGGGAGAACCCTTTCCGTCCTGCATAAAGACCCGAGGGAGAGAGAAATGGGGAGGGGGGAAACCATCTGCTGGGGCCGGAAGAGGCGTGTGCCTGGGCAGCCTCCTGGGTCTGCAGATCGTTACAGCCCGAAGGGTCGTGAATATTTCATCATCATGAGGATCGCTTTCAGGGCTCTCACCCCGAGACGCGGGGCTCTGAGTGCTTTCCGAATATTACATCTGTGCTCACGATAACGCTGTGAAACAGGGTCGCGATGCCTATTTCCCAGACCAGGAGCCTGAGGCCCAGTGAGGTTGAGTCACTTGCCCTGGGGTTGTACAACCAGAACATGGCAGGGCCCAGGGCTCCGGAGCCTGCACTGTGTGACCACTGCAACGCACTGCCTGTCACATGGCAAGAGCAGCCATCGGCCACTGCCACCACCACCAGAGCTGCCCCAAGCGTGGCGCCCTGGCCAGATGCCAGGTTCCGGTGAAGGGCTATACACCCAGTGTGGCTGTGTCTAAGGTCACTCAGCAAGGAAATGACAAAGCCAGGACTTGTCCCAGCTGTGTGTCTCCTCTGCCCAGCAAGGAGGTGACAAGGGCCTGGGGCAGGTGAGCCGCTGGCCTGGTCCCTTGACAAGGTCTCCTGGCCCTGGCCGGTGGCACAGTGGTGGGAGCGTTGTGGTTTAGATTCCCGGTCAAGGGCATGTGCCTGGGTTGCAGGTTACTCCCTGCCCATGGGATGCGGTTCACTCCCTGCGTGCAGGAGGCCGCCAGTCAGTGTGAGAGATACATCAATGTTTCTCTCTCCCCGCCTCCTCCCTCCCTCCCTCCCACGGTCTCTGAAAAAGCAATGGAAAACACATCCTCTGATGAGGAGGAACCAAACAAAGGGAAGAGGAAAGGTCTCCTGGCTCATGCTCGGGGTGCAGAAGGCTTATTCTGCGACAGTGAGCCCTCTCCTGCCTCAGCTCAGCGCATGCTCGGTCGCTGCTACAAGCTGGTCCCGCAGTCCCCCCTGGACAGAGCGGGAGACTGACCCTCAGAGGGGCCGCCGCTCAGCCGAGACCACGGTGAAGGGCTCCCTCCCCCTCACCACTCGGCCTCTGCTCTGATGGCCTGTCCTCAGCAAGGACTTCCTGGCCTCCTGACCGTCCTCCGGGGCCACTCTGAGCAGGGCTGGGTGTTTCTGCAGTGAATTCCCACCCGGGTCCAATGGTGAGAACACACGGGCACCCACTGAGGCAGGTTCTGCAAGGTAACCGGCCGGAACTGGACAGCAACGCCACGTGAGGAAGGACATAAGAAGGCGGAGGAACGGATCCCAATGGAAGGAGGCTAAAGAGATAGGACCAGAGAACGCCACGCGGGAGCTGGGGGATGCTGGAGCAGAAAGGGGCTGCCAGGGATGTTCCTGGGACGACCGGAGGAATCTGAGCGCAGACCCTGGGTGGGAGGCCGGATGCACCGTCGCTGGATTTGCTGAGAGCGAAGGCGGACGGGAAAGGCCTGGTCTTAGGAGACACCTGCTGTACGTCGCCTTTTAGGGATAAAGGGCATCCTGCCTGCAACTAACTCCCAAACGTTCCATTAATAAGGAGGGTGGCAATGACATGCCGTGAGCACATATGGATACGACAACTGCGGCCAATGCTAGCGACTGGCGCATCTCCTGAAATTTGTTCTCGCCCTGCAACCTTTCTGTAGACGGGCAATGTTTCAGAATAAAAAGTTCAAAGAGAAAAGAAAACCACCGCACTAGAGCTCCCCCCACCCCATTCCCACCCTTCCCGGCTTCCCCCCTAGCACTGGCCAGCATCTGAAATAATACATCGCGCTTATTTATTCGGTTTTTGGCCTGGCTGTGCTGCTGGAATGTCGGTCCATGAGGGCAGGGTTTTTTTGTTTTAAGTGCACAATTCAGTGGTTTTCAGAACGTTCTGAGTTGTGCAATCATCACCACAATCTATTTTAGACCATTTGGTCACCCCGAGAGAAACCCTGTCCTCCAACTTCCCCATCCTCCCCTAGCCTTAGGCAAACGCCAATCTGCTTTCTGTCTTATGGACATTTCATCAGAGCGGAATCGTACAACGCGTGGACTTTTGTGACTGGCTCGTCCCACTCGGCGTGTGTGCAGGGACGGCCCCTGGTGTGGCACGTGAGAAGGCAGCGGCTCCTGCCTCTCTTGCCCACACGGTATCTGCAACACCCAAAGCAGCCTGACCCAGGGTCGACGGCCAATAAAAATGGACTGAGCGAGCCAGGATTTGAACCCCAGCCCGCCAGCCGCAAAGGCCCCGCCCTGAACCCCGACACAGCACGGTCCATCTGGGCTGGCCCTGCCTGACCCCGCACTGTCACATGACCTCAGGCCAGCCTGCCCCTCTGCATGGGAGCTGTGTTGGGACGCGGCCCAGAGAGCTCCTCCCAGGAGAGTAAGACCCCGCGCCAGCCCCGCCCAGCACCTTGAGGTTGTGCCCGTCGAAGGGCAGGGAGCCGCTGACGAGGGTGTACAGGATGACGCCCAGGCTCCAGATGTCCACCTCCGGCCCGTCGTACTTCTTGCCCTGGAACAGCTCCGGGGCGGCGTACGGGGGGCTCCCGCAGAACGTGTCCAGCTTCGAGCCCAGCGTGAACTCGTTGCTGAAGCCAAAGTCGGCGATCTTGATGTTGGCCTCGGCGTCCAGCAAGAGGTTCTCGGCCTGGGAGGGAAGGAGAGGGCCGAGGGTGGACGCGTGCGGTGGACAGGAGCACGGGCGCCGGAGCTGGCCCGCCCAGACCGACTGCGGCCTGGCCCCGACTCCCTGTGTGACCCCTGGGCAGCGACCGACCTCTCTGGGCCTTGGTTTCCTCCTCCATAGAATGGGGATAACCACAGTCCCTATAGACAGAAGATCAAGATGGGATGATAAAATAAAAAACCAAAATCGCTCCACGATGTCAAAGCGCGGGCAGTAAAATAGAGTGCAGGGA